CACTGGGGTCTGTCGGGGGGGCACTAGGGGAGGGACAGCAGAGGGTGGGGAGTTGGGGAGAGATAGCCTGGGGAGAAATGCCAGATACAGGTGATGAGGAGGAAGGCAGCAAATCACACTGCCACGTGTGTACCTATGCAACTATCTTGCATGTTCTTCACATGTACCTGATAACCTAAAATGCAATAAAAAAATAAGATAAAATAATGATAAAAAGTATAGTAAGTTCTATATAAAAAATATACTTTAAAAAGTATAGTATAGTATATACTAGGCAGCTGGAATTTTTCAGCTCCATTATAATCTTATGGGACCATTGTCGCATGTGGTCTGTCACTGACTGAAACATTATGTGGTACATGGCTGATTATAATAATTTTTTAAGACTCAGTATAATAAATTTTATCATAATTATAACCTTGCTACTACAAACCATCAGTTTGATGGGATTGAGAGGAAATCTTCTCAGGACAGAGAATAAAATGTACTCAAGTATCTCTAACTGGGCATCTTATATACAACCTTTTTTTTTTTTTTTTTTGAGACAGTATCATTCTTGCCCAGGCTGCATTGCAGTGGCGTGATCATGATTCACTGCAGCTTGACCTCCGGGCTCAAGTGATCCTCCTGCCTCAGCCTCTGGAGTAGCTAGGACCAGAGGCTTGAGCCACCTGCCTGGTTAACTTTTACATTTTTTTTTGTAGAGATGAGAGTCTCCCTGTGTTGCCCAGGCTCAGATCTTTTAATTAAACTACTATAGGGAGGAGGCATTCTCTTTTTCTAGTACTCCGTGTCTCACTTAGGACCTTGTAGATAGGATTCATTTCCCATGAAGGCTCTGAGACTCTGGAATTTACTCTTCTTGGAGATCTGACATTACTGTAAAGATACTGGTACCTAGAGTATACCATAGATGTTTTGATTTTGCTAAGACCTTCAGTGGACAAATGCACTGTGTAGCTCTCAAATGGTGGTAAGGCTGGGAATTAAGAAATATATATTAATATGCATGATAAAATTGATCAGAAATTAGTCATTGAAGATATAATTTTTTATTTTGTTTCATGGAATAATTCATGTTGCTTTATCTTCTTATTCTAGTCCTAAAGAATATTCTTACATATAATAAAGAATTTCCATTTGATGTTCAGCCTGTCCCATTAAGGTAAAATAAACATTTATATTTGTTTTCTTATCTTATACTTCAGTTTTAGATATTTCTGGGTTTTCCTAAATATCAACTTTGGTATTATTGATATCATTGACATCAGCAGTGATAACGGGATATCAGCATATTTTTATATCAGCATCTTACCTGGGAAACAAGTAGCTGTGAGGCATCACTAGGATATTTAGTTTTGCAGCTCACTATTTTTTCTGACCTTTTTCATGTAGAAGAATTTTGGCACCTGGTGAAGAAGAGAATTTGGAATTTGAAGAAGATGAAGAAGAGGGCGGTGCTGGAGCAGGGTCTCCTGATTCTTTTCCTGCTAGAGTTCCTGGTAGGTATCACTTATTAAAAATGCATATTACTAGGCCGGGCGTGGTGGCTCACGCCTGTAATCCCAGCACTTTGGGAGGCCGAGGCAGGTGGATCACGAGGTCAAGAGATCGAGACCACAAGGTGAAACCCCGTCTCTACTAAAAATACAAAAATTAGCTGAGCATGGTGGCGCATGCCTGTAATCCTAGCTACTCAGGAGGCTGAGGCAGGAGAATTGCCTGAACCCAGGAGGTGGAGGTTGCGGTGAGCCGAGATCGCGCCATTGCACTCCAGCCTGGGTAACAAGAGCGAAACTCCGTCTCAAAAAAAAAAAAAAAAAAAATACACATTACTTAACTGCATCCAACATCAGGGTGTTTGAAGGTAGCTTTGGTATTTGCTAGAGGGGCAATAAAACCACCCTAAGCCCATGCAAATCTTAGGCAAATTTTGTTGGGAGTAGCTATTTCATAAATACAATGTGAAAGTATCTTACTATCCGGGTCAAGGGCCCTCAGGACCATCCCCATGTTCAGTGATTCACTAGGATGACTCACAAGGCTCCCTATGTAGTTGTATTCACAGCTAGGATTCATTACAGGAGAACACAAGAACAAAAAATCAGCAAACAGAAAGGCACAAGGGCCAAGTCTGGAGGAAACCAGATGCAAGCTTTTCAAGCATCCCCTTCCAGTAGAGTCACGTCAGATGTGCTTAATTTCCCCTACAACAAGTTGTGACAACATAGGTGAAATGCACAATGTTGTCTATAAGGGAAGCTCTTTAGAGTCAGTGCCCAAAGCTTTTATTGGGGACTACTTATGTGGGTACCTCCTGCCTGGCACAGACCAAAATTCCAGACTACAGAAGGAAAGAAGGTGTTTAGCACAAACCGTATTGTTTATACAGTTTAGGCAGTGTCCATTCTTATCAGGGAATGGTGGGAACCCTCCCCAAATCCAAGAGCTCAGATGCCAGCCACGGGCTGACCTTGCAAGGAGGTTTTCTAATAATACGCCTACTATCTTAATTCTTTTCTGTATACTGTCATAAGTGCTTCTTTTTTTTTTTTTTTTTTGAGACAGAGTCTTGTTCTGTCACCCAGGCTGGAGTACAGTGGCATGATCTCAGCTCACTGCAAGTTCCGCTTCCCAGGTTTCAAGCAATTCTCATATCTCAGCCATCTGAGTAGCTGAGATTACAGGTTTATGTCATTTGCCTGGCTAATTTTTGTATTTTTAGTAGAGATGGAGTTTCGCCATGTCGGCCAGGCTGGTCTGGAACTCCTGACCTCAGGTGATCTGCCTGCATCAGCATCCCATAGTGCTGGGATTACAGGCATGAGCCATTGCACCCAGCCCCATAAGTACTTCTTTAATTAATCAGATTGTGGTGGTTAAAACTGGACCCATGAGGAGTGGATACTGAACAACTGCCCTTTCTTACCCATCTTGTTTTAGGGAAGTAAAGAATTTACGGCAAACCTTTTTTCTTTATGGAAGCTCTCCATGAGTATCTTCTCTCACTATAAATAACCTCAGCAAGCACCCTGGATAAATTCCTTGCCTCTACCAATTACTGCTTTACTCTGTTCTGTTCTTAGAAAGCGTAGTTTTTATTCCAGATAATGTAGTTCACTTTGGGAAGTATAGCAATCTGCTGTAATATTGTGGTACATTTTAGAATAGATTCTAGAAGCTTTCCATATAGTTAAATACAATTTACGTGCTGTTCAGAGAGCTCTCTTCATAATTAATATTCCAGTATTTTGAATACTTCTTGAGGAGGAGTCATTTGGAGTAGGAACAGTATATGCTCGCACCAACAGATAACTGACTGGGCTTTTGAATCTGGGTTCTGACAGTCACTGGTTGAGTGACTTTGCACCTGTGTCTTCAACCAATCTGAACTTCTGTTTCTTTATAAAATGGGATAATGATAGTGCCTAAAGGTTACTGTAAAAATTAACTAAGTACTAAGTATAAAGCATTTAGCATTGTACTGTTCATATGCTGAGTATTAGTGGTGGCTGTTATTATCATCACCTCTACCTGAGGATAACAGTACCTACATTGCAGGGTTATTGGAAACATGGCAGGCACTGTCGATGGTAGCTCTTATTGTTAATAATGTTTCTTTGGAACAAGGGCATTATTTATAATCTGCTTTGCTTTATGAAGAGAGAGCTGTGTTTTTCTTGCTTTTGTAGGGTATTTCAAGATTGCCAAGATGGTGAGGTAAATTATTTTGCCGTTTCACTGACTCAATAATTTTTATTGCTTTTCAAACCACATACTGTAATTGGTGTAGCTTCCAGTTCTATATTCCTATCTGATTTGGTTGTTTGCCTGCTTACTGTACTTCTGTAGCAAACAAGAAGCAGATGATGTAAATCACGAAATGGGCAGATTAAGGTCTTTATGGGGTTCAGGTTGCTAAGTTGAAAAGGAACTTCTACCATAAATTAAATCCATTTGCTATGTAAGATTAAGCCCAAACTGAATTTGGATTCTGATATAACATTGTGATATTTCATTTTAGAGATACAGATGCCTTATTAAACCCTTCTAGTCCCTGAATTTTTTCCCGTAAAAGAAAGAGTATGTAGAGTTTAATTAGCTATATTTGGTTTGGGATCTTATTGTTCAGGGCTTGTGTTATTGAAAAATAACTTGTGAAATTATATTCATTGAAAGTGTCATTGAAATACCAAGATGGCCTTTAGCTTTTAATGATAGAACAGGAAAAAATTTCTTGTTACACGAAGGGAACCCAAGATTTAAAGGCAGATTTACTGGGATATTTATATATGTGAAATTCACTTGGCTGGTGCACTGTGGCTCATGCCTGTAATACCCAGCACTTTGGGAGACCCAGGTGGGCGGATCACCTGCGATCAGGAGTTCGAGACTAGCCTGGCAAACATCATGAGGAAACCCTGTCTCTACTAAAAATACAAAAATTGGTCGGGCATGGTGGTGGGTGCCTGTAATTTCAGCTACTCAGGAGGCTGAGGCACGAGAATTGCTGGAGCCTGAGAGGAAGAGGTTGCAGCGAGCTGAGATCGTGCCGTTGCACTCCAGCCCAGGTTGACAACAGCAAGACTCCATTTCAAAAAAAAAAAAAAAGAAAAAGAGAAATTCACTCTTAATATGTACCTTTAATAAATTTTGACCAACTCCTACACTAACCACTACCAATGTTAAGCTAATGAGGTGTGAGGTATGGTATGTAGATATGGTATAACCAAGAATAGTTTTTTCAGATTTAAAATTTAAAATGACTTTTTAGCCAGCTTTTCAGGAAAAGAAAAAACAGGTAGTCAAGCTTACTTACTTTTCTTGATATTAATCTCCGTCCTTCCTTTTCAAAATGTTAAAATTTTGTAAACATATTTATGTTATATAATTGGCTTAGCCAAAATAGTAGGTAATTTTTCTAAAGATAATCTTGGTAGATTTCATTTAAATAGGAAGTATAAACTTACAACCTATTATTTTATAACCTAAAACTTTATTGATAGTCTTGAATAGTAAAGCTACTAAAATGATAAACCAAAGCAATATAAATTTAAAAATAGCCAAGACACAACTTTATGCAGACTTTTAAAAACACTTTCTTACTAACACGATGCAAGCTCAAATAGTCCTAGCAGTTTCAGAATTATTGTACATATGTGCTTATTCTTCATCTCTTACATAGGCTTATGTATGCATAAAATATTATTTTTGAAACTCGAAGAATGAAATTTACCTATCTAATGTCAAACCTATATTGGTTTTTTGCCACGTAACTATTCAATTCTGAGTTGAACTTGAAAGATAAGAAAACATGGATTTTATTTTCAGCTGAAATGAAGTAATTTCTTTTCTTGCTCACATACGTGTGAGAAAGTCAAAAACTGCAGCAAATGTTTATTGCTTTCCTGTGAATATCAGGCATTCTTTTTTTATGGAAATCCAGAACATGTTTAGGGGCCAAACAGTTAATACCATCGAAGTGTATGGTTATGTTTACAAACAACTTTAACAGGTAAAGTTTTCATTCAGTCAGCAGACCTACATATAATATTATTTTGATGATAATGGCCCCTGAGATTTTTCAAACTTTAAAAATAATTTCAAAACTTTTTTTTTTTTGAGATGGAGTCTCACACTGTCACCCAGGCTGTAGTACAGTGGCGTGATCTCAGCTCACTGTAATCTTCACCTCCTGGTTTCAAGCAATTCTCCTGCCTCAGCCTCCCAAGTAGCTGGGACTATAGGCATGCACCACCTTGCCCAGCTAATTTTTTTGTATTTTTACTAGAGAGGGGTTTCACCATATTGGCCAGGATGGTCTCGATCTCCTGACCTCATGATCCTCTCACCTCAGCCTCCCAAAGTGCTGGGATTACAGGCGTGAGCCACCTTGCCTGGCCAAACTTACAATTTCCAAGTCTTTCTTTTAAAAGCTTGGAGGAACCCATTAATCCTCAACTGCTAATAATTGACAGCTAAAATAAATTGTATATGCATTTTAATATTTTACAGCCATTTCTACCTCCAGATGTAATTCAATTCAAGCAAATCAGTGGTATCACCGTGACCTGTTATCTGTGTGCAATGCAAACTGCAAAGATTTTCTATTGCCAGGTTTTCAAGACACATTTCATTTGTTAGCTACCATCTACCAAGTATTGCAGCCAGTTTAAGCAGTATCATTATGTTAAATCCTGTTAAAAATTATCCCAAAATAATGCAAAGCATTATCAAGTATATCTTTTTTATTATATTTTGGCAGCACAAAGAAATACGTGCTCAAAAAATATTTGGATGACAGAGAAAATCAGATATGTACCAGATATGCAAATTTAATTATAAGTATGATGAATTAAAAACAGTGACAACTAGCAATGCCTATATTATCATAGGTGTATATTTTATCATATGTATATATTATCTGTTGAGTTTGCATTTTAGACACCTGATTGAACTCTGTCCTAAAAGTGTGGATAAAAAATTATGTACTCCTTGTTCATGACATTTAATTTGCTTTGTTTTGTTTTGTTTTTGAGAGATAGCAGGTTTATATTTTCAAAGCAGAAAATAAAGTACTCATTATCAAAATTCTAAAATAAGTATGTTTCAAATAAATAAAGATATAAATATATGAATCTAAAATATAAGAACAAAATCTTGTTAAAAATGAATCATACGTACAAAAAATGATCAACAGAACTTCCAGAAATAAAAAAATACTTCCATTGCAATTAATCCTCAACAAGTCTCCTAGACAAATATTACAAAGAAACTTGCACATGTGTAGAAGCCTTGGTTTTAAAAATACTTCTCCCAAAGATCCAAGGAATAAGCTTGAGTATCTCACAAACCCCTGAATCACTGTAGAATAAAATCCTCTATGCATTTAATAAAACAAACAACATTTTAAAACCAAAAGTTGACAAGGACTGTATAATAATTAACATTATAGGACAACATTCTCATGAACATAGATGCAATGACAGCAAAATATTAGCAAAGAAAAAAAAAAATCCAGTAGCGTTTTAAAATGACAGAGTAAAGTTTATCTTTTTTTCTTTTTTGGTGTGTCATACTTTAATTAGTAGTGTTTTCTTCTTTTGAGTGGTTCATAAAATAATGGTGCATCTCACAATCAAGGGTGTCACTTAATGAAATGCAGCACTGTTCATATGGAGATAACATGATCGTAAGGAGGAATCATTAAGGGGTTAAGAAGAAAAGTGAGGTAAGGCAGCAGTTTCCACTGGAATCATCACAAAGCAAAAGATGGACTGTTTTGTTATCGTCCACCTTTCAGCTACCAAGAATTGCCTGGATATTTGGATTCTGCCCATTAATATCAGCTTTGGAAAGAACCGGAAAGTTTGGTAGATCGAAGAGAAAGGATCTGGGGCCATCGCTTTACACCGAACGGTGCCGTCTCTTGTCGGAATCGCGGTCTGGGGAAGGGCTGGTGTGCAGCCTGGTGGTCCAAATGCTCCCCTGATGCTTCTTTGGAGAGAGAAAAGCTGGTTTCCAATGTGGCGTCACTTCCCACGTTGAGGTTATTCTGCAGCTGAGCTCTGCTTGCGTTGCCTGCCGCCGAGTCGGCTGCTCCCGAGCCGCGCAGCACAGTGGCGTGCAGTGTGAGTAGCAGCAGCCCCAACAGCAGCAGTGACTCGGCCGCCAGGCGCACCACACTCTTGAGACGCGCCGCTTTAGGACCTGGCCCGGCTGGCGGTGGCACCGGGGAGGAGGAGTGGGAGCCCTGGAGCCTGGCAGCACTGTGCCCGCCTCAGCCCCGGCCTGGGCCCTGCTTCCCGGGTCCGCGGGTCTGACGTCTGGCACCGCTGGGCGCCTGGGGCCTGGGAGCAGGAGCCGCAGCCGCCTCCACACCACCGAGGAGCCACCGCTAGGCCGGAGGTGTCCAAGTCGGCAGTGGAGCAAACCCTGGCACTGCCGACGGGGGCAGCGGAGGGGACGGGGTCCCAGGCCCCGTGACCCCGGCCAGGCCGGAGGCCACACTGCGGGCAAGGGGCTGCAGGGGCGGCTGCGGGGCAGGTGCAGCCGAGCCCCTGAGAGCATATGGGCGCCCCAGATGAGGCCGGCGAGCGAGGAGGAGGAGGAAGGCTTCAGCTGCGGCTGAGTTACCTACAGGCTTGGCTTTGCCGCCGAGGCACTCACCCACCCAGCGACTTCCCTCCTCTCCGCGCACCTCGGGGCCGCCTGCCGCACCGCCCCCCCACGCAGAGTCTTGGGAGGGCTGGTTCCAGATGGGGCCCCAGCCTCACTGAGGTTTGTCAATGTTTGGAGGTAGCCCGGGCATCCTCAGCGTCTGTGTCCGCCTGCAGGGCTGTACCGGCTGCCTGCCGGTAGAGCCCTTGTGAGCATGGAGGCTCGGGGCTGTGGGTGGGTGGGTGGGGGTACCAGGGCTAGTTTAGAAACCTATATTGGCAAATTGGAGCTGGAGTTGCAGTGAGGGAAAAAGGAGGGGGCGCTGGACAATTCAGGTGTCTGTGATCCCTGCCTGAAGCAGTCCGGGGAGGGGAAGTGACAAAGTGTGGTTCCCGAAGGGTCTTGACACTTGCTGGGCCGCCCGCTTGCTGGGCACGGCTCTTTGCGCATCTGCGGCATCCCGGAAAGCCTGGCAGTAATACGGCAAGGCACCCCAATTCCCCACTGGCCCAGAGAATACCTGCAAGGACTTGGTGGTTTTTGGCTCTTCAGACAAAGGGGCAGAGATCTGCTCCTGGCTGCAGCTTGTGCCTCCTGTCTCCTGCAGCATCCTGGGGCCGCATCCTCTCCGGTGCTCTGCAGTCTCCGTCGTTGCCACCCACTGCAGCGAGGTGAGCCGTGGTGCCACAGGCTCCAGCCTCCAGCATGCAGCAGATAGCTCTTCCTTCTCGTGGCATGGAGCAGCTGGGCGGGCAAAGCCAGAAAAGCCGCAGAGACCTGTGTCATCCTCCACCATCACGTTGAAGCCACAAGGGCTTCTCCAAAGAAACTCGCTCTGAGGATGCGTCCGCTTACTTCCCTCTGGCCAGACCCGGCCAGGGCCGCTGCCGCCTACACCAGCTTCCCTCCAGCCGGGCTGGGCCGCCGCCTACGCCGACTTCCCTCCGGCCGGCCCGAGAAGAATTTTCCTTTTGTTGTGTGTGATGTAAACAATAGCAATTTTTTTTAAAGCAGAAATAATAAGACAAAAAAGAAAATAACAGCCTTCCTAGTCTCAATGTGAAGACAGGGTCTTAAAGGATTTCACTGACTTCAAGTTCCTTCCACGTAAGCCCAGACTCCTGATCCATTCATAGTCCAATTCTCCATAATCTCCATTGTCCAGAGTGTCTTTAGCCACACAGAGAACTAGTCAGTGTGAGAAGATCCTATTCCTTGCTAGGATGTCCATTTTTATTAGCTTTCTCTTGGAACAGAGAAGTTGTAAGTGAGGACCCACAGATGCTCCTCAGCTCTTCTCTGTACCAGCTGTAGGAGGGAGAGTGGTACTGACGGCTGGGCACCTTGGTGGTCGTCTGGGGATTCACATGGCCAGCTTGGACAGCGAAGACTTGCTTGCACAGTCACCTTCTCCTCCCCAGGGTGGCAGTGGCTGTAACACACTCTTCTGAGAGCCTGCCCTGTTGCCAGATTAGACACTTGTACAGTTTTCAAAACATTCTCTTTTTTATTTCCTTTTTTTTTTGAGATGGAGTCTCGCCCTGTTGCCCAGGCTGGAGTGCAGTGGCACAATTTCAGCTCACTGCAACTTCTGCCTCCTGGGTTTAAGCAATTCTCCTGCCTCAGCCTCCTGAGTAGCTTCGATTACAGGCATGCACCACCACGCCAGCTGATTTTCGTATTTTTAGTAGAGACAGAGTTTCACCATGTTGGCCAGGCTGATCTCAAACACCTTTTCAGTTCACTCAAGAATTGTGACTTAACAGAGCCACCATGTCCAGCCAGTTTTCAAAACATTCTTCAATGAACTGGTCTTTCATGTTGGCCAGGCTGATCTCAAACACCTTTTCAGTTCACTCAAGAATTGTGACTTAACAGAGCCACCATGTCCAGCCAGTTTTCAAAACATTCTTCAATGAACTGGTCTTTGTTGAACAAACGCAGCCATTTCTGTGATGCCTACAACCTCTTTTTTTAATGTATTGGTGAGAATTTTGACCGCAGCGCCTCGGTGAAGAAAGTCATGAGCGTGACAGTGCCGGAGTTTCTGTTGTTGGACCCCACAGCACACATGGCAGGGCGTTTTTTTCAGAGGTGCCCATGAGGACAGGGCATTCCGTCCGGCTTGGCCTTTGCTTGTTTGGGCCTTCACAGCAGAAAAAGTTTTCTTGATTTCACCGTTATTTATAACCTACAAATGCTATAGCATGTCATTTATTGGTAAAATTTGTAGACTCAGTGAGAAGGTTTTTTTTAAATTTTTTTTGGCAATTTGTCACAAAACCTCTTAGGATATGAAAAGTCATCTCTGTGTCCACTTATTGTGCTGCTTGGGTGTGGAGCCTTTTAAATTTCTTATACTATATCTTGCCCAAGAAAATGTAATTTCATATGCAGGCATTATGAGATCCTTGCCCACTGTGTGACTTTTCTTTCTCCCAGCATTAAGTTCTGCTACTAAGTAGTTTTCTTTTTGAGCCTTTTTTTTTTTTTTAACTGAACATGACTTAAAAAAAAAAAATCTTTATTTTAAATGGCCATTAGGATCTCAAAATAATCAGTTTCTTTACTTATCAGTGGCTGTGACTTGTAGTTAAGTGGTTTTTTTTTTTTCAGTTTTGTTGGATCCATCACTGCATTGATAAATTGTTTTTCACTGATGTTGCAACTTGGAAATTATCCATCCAGGTACAACCTTATGAATAAGTAGTTCTCATCATTAAATGGACTTTTTTGTGTTCACCAGTGCATTAGTGCAGTGAAATGATTCAGAAGCTTGAAATTCATTGTTTTTACCTGGAGAGAATTGTCTCTATGCCTAGGATTAGCATCTTCCTCTCCTAGCTTGTACCGCTTTAGAAACCACATTGAATTGGAAAATTTCCTCTGGTTTTCTTTGCTATAAGTAGAGCATGTTTACACCAGCTGGTGGTGCATAAGGGAAGTTTGGGGCAGGTAAATTTGAAGAGGCTGACATTAGACTGCTGTGTGGAGCTCATCAGCTACCAGTGGCTTCCCCTGTCTCCTGTAAAAAAAAATGGACCAAATCAGGTGAACATAATCTTACTGCTTTTTGCCATTTGAGGCTGAAAGACCTATAATAAATTGCTGTAGGGGCTGCAGTCTCTTCCCATCACAGTGAATATGCATTGCTCAGTGTACAAAGCCCATTGCAGGAGCTACACACGATAGAGTATTGTCCTAGTATTTTATTGTCTTTAGTGCATATTTTAAGGCAGTAATTGATAGAAATCACTCTCTTGCATGGAGCTCCTAGTGACAGCTCAAGGACATCCTGGGATTCCACAGAATCCAGGTTGAAAAATCTTGATTTAGACAGTTATAGCCATACAGAGCTTTTCATATTTAGAAGTGTGAGGTAGAAATAATGCATCCCCTCCCAAAGATGTCCACATCCTAATCCTCAGAATCTGTGCATATGTTTGTTACATTACTTGGCAACAGAGACTTTGCAGATGTGATTATGTTAAAGACCTTGAGATGGTGAGGTTATCCTGCAGCTCCCGTTTAGGTTCTATGGACAATTTAAAAATAACCAAATGGGATGTGGTGTTTAAAAGCATGGACTCCGGTGCCAAACTGATGTATGATTGTAGGCAGATTACTTAACTTTTCTGTGTCTTAGTTTCACTTCTGAAAAAATGGGACTAACATTAGCACCTATGTTATGGGGTTGTTGGGAGGATTAAATGAGTTGTACATGTAAAGGATTAGAACAGTGCCTGGCACATCCTAACATGTTCTATAAAAGTTAGCTGTTTATTATTTATGCAGCTTTTCCATATGGAAGAACATTTATTATTTCTGATCCTTGCTTTAGATATAACAGCAAATGATCTAGCTGGAAACACACAGCTTTTTATGGATCATATATGATTTCTTATTCCAGTTACAGTCTTCAAGTTTTATAAATGTAGTTACTTATTCTCATATTACTCTATACAGTTGAATGCATTTTTTCTTCTTTTTGAAATCTTGCTTTTAATGCATTGCCTTGATTTCTAATTACTGTGTGGTTTTATCTTTGATACACAAATACGTTAACTTTCTCCTCTAACCCAGGAATGGTATAGTATTTTATCCTAGTATGTTATGTTCTTTCATGCACATTATATAAGGCAGCGCATTGATAGATGTTTTCAGGCTACATGTTTTCTAGAGCATGATAACCTCTAGAGCTGTAAAATTCATTTATTAATTCAACAAAATATTTCTGCAACGAAGATCTCTTTATTACTAGTGCAAACGATACAAAAATGAACAGTTGGCCGGGCGCGGTGGCTCACGCCTGTAATCCCAGCACTTTGGGAGGCCGAGGCGGGTGGATCATGAGGTCAAGAGATCGAGACCATCCTGGTCAACATGGTGAGACCCCGTCTCTACTAAAGATACAAAAAATTAGCTGGGCATGGTGGCGCGTGCCTGTAATCCCAGCTACTCGGGAGGCTGAGGCAGGAGAATTGCCTGAACCCAGGAGGCGGAGATTGTGGTGAGCCGACATTGCGCCATTGCACTCCAGCCTGGGTCACAAGAGCGAAACTCCGTCTCAAAAAAAAAAAAAAAAAAAAAATGAACAGTTACTCATACCCATGTTTCAGGATCTCACCATGTAAGACACGGCCAAAAAAGTACACCATGATGGTGAGAGGTGAACACAGTACATTATGAGTGAACAAAAAAAGGGCTGAGGGAGTTTAGCAAAGGTCATCTAGGTAGAACTGAGACTCAAAAGGCGTGCAGGAGTTGACAAGGCAGAGATGTAGCACATTAGAAACTGCTGAAAAATACACTTTTCTGTATCATCTGTCAGTTATATAACCTGAGCTGTTCGTTAGTAAGGATCAAACTGAACCTTAATAGTTGAGTGAAATGTTTTATGTTCTACCCTGAATTAGGGAAGAACTGAGTATTTTTTTGGCTTGGAATTACTGCCTTCATATTACATTATTAGAAATATATTTAGTAGTTAGATTAAATCTTATTATAGTCTCAGGCCAAAAAAAAAAAGTTGTTTGTTGGTAAGAAAGAAAGAAATGTCAGCCTCATTATTTCAGCTAAATATCTAGACAATTACAGGTTATGAAATGGATTCACCTAAAGGTAGAATAATTTTTAATGTTTACTTGGGAGAAAATAGTCTATCACAAAAAGAACTTCTCTCTTGTCTGTCAGAAACCACCATAATCAGAGTCAAAATGACAAAGAACTAATATCTTTAATATGTAAAGAAAATTTTAGGTTATGACAACAAAGACTCCAAACACATTAGAAAATTGGGCAAAAAACATGAACAGATAGTACACACACACATAGACACACCTCGAGATATTCAAGTAGCCCTTAAACATATTAAAAGATACTCAACTTCACATATGATGAAAGACACTCAAATTAAAACTGTTGCTGAGGCAGTAGGGAAATGGACTCATTCGTCACTGGTGGGAATAGAAAGTGGTAATAGTCCCTTTACAGGAGAGTTCGGCAACAGCTCAACAGCAACAAAAATAGACAGTTCCTCTTAGGTCGGCAATCCTGTTCCTAGGAATTTACTCTGAAGGTTCACCTCCAATAATGGGGAAACAATTTAAAAAAATACTTCCATATATACAGGGTTCTCTATTGAGGCATTTTTGGTGATAGTGATATATTAGAAACAACCTAAGTGCCATACGAACACTGGCTGAATAAGTAGCCAATATATGGAATATTGCAGAAAATAATTAGGAAAATCTCCACGAAGTGTTGAGTGATTTTTTTTCCCGAATATATTGTGAAATCAACAAGATACATATATTAGGGTAGTTAACATTAGCAGAGTAAGGACAAAAATCTCATCTTCTCAATAGATGCAGAAAATGTTTTCAATTACATTTCTAATTTAGATTTTAAACATAGGAATTCTGAGCAGACCAAGAATAGAACATCTCTAATCGATAAAAGGTAACTGTAATGACATTTAGAGCCTCAGTCATATTTAGTGATAAAATGGAAAACTTACCTTTTCAGATCAGGAACAAGACAAGGGTGTCTACTATTATCTCCTTTCCTCAACAGTGCTTTAGAAGTGCTGGCCAGTGTACTAGTATAAGAAAAAGAAATAAAATCTAAAAATTAGGGCGGGGAAACCTGTCTCTTCATTTGCAGATGTTATGAATATGTATTTAGAACATGCAAGAAAACTTGTAGATAAGTCATTAGTATTAATAAGAGAGTAGGTTTCCTGAGTATAAAATGTGTACATAAAAATCACTTCTTCTCCCAGCAGAGATATTGTTAAAAAATTAATCCTATCTCTCTAAGCAATAAGTGCTCAATGAAATATTATGTCTGTGATAGTATCAGAAAATATCTAGTACCTTATAATAAACCCAACAAAATAAGTATAAGACTTTGTGAAGAAAAGAATAAAATCTATCGAGAAAATTTAGAAATCTTTAAAAAGTTGGTGGATCGGAAGAAGCAATTTCTAAAGATGGGATTCTTTCTAAAATTGACCTGAACTTCTCTGCAATTCCAACAGGTGATTTTTTGTTGTTGTTTTTCTTTTTTTGCCTCAATGTTGATAAGGAAAAGAATGGGAAATTAGACTGTACAATTATTCAATTAAATACACGACTGTTGAGTTGTGAATTATTTTCTCCATCAATAGTAACTGGTGGAGGATTGCTTGAACCTGGGAGGTTGAGGCCGCAGTGAGCTGTGATTATGCCACTGTACCCCAGCCTTGGTGACAGAGTGAGACCCTGTGTCAAAAAACAAAGTAACTAAAGGATTTGTGGATCAACCCTGGTGTTCTATTTCTCAAACGTTATGATAATATCACAAATATTTAAAAAGTTTTTTTCTTTGTTCTACCACTTCATATTGAGATGCAAAGTATATTATATAAATGAGTATATACAAAGTATATGCATATGTATATGAGTTATTGATTATGTGGTAATTTATAATGGGGCTTCCTAGAGTGACTTGAATTTCTGACAAGCTTGAGTGATTTCTGATTTAATGGTGACTGTGAGACAGGGAAGTGCAGATTTCTCTTGTGTGTTAGTAAATATTTGAAAAGAGTAATGCCAAGTGTTTGGGAGTTTGGGAACCAAGATAATGCCTGGCTAGTTACTAAGTCAGTTACGAGCAACACTGTGTCTTCTCTGTGTTTGTTAAAATGTTTACTCTGAAATGACAGGAGCTTTATTGCTTTTTCTCTGTTGCCAGGTACTTTGTTACCAAGGTTGCCATCGGAACCAGGAATGACATTACTCACAATCAGAATTGAGAAAATTGGTTTGAAAGATGCTGGGCAGTGCATCGATCCCTATATTACAGTTAGTGTAAAAGGTACGTAACTTTCTTTACTTTTTTTTCCTCTGGTGAATTTTATAATGCTCATTTGGGACCGTTTTTTTTGGTGGTGGGGCAGGGAGTCTCATGTGTGTGACAACTCATCTTAGTTCATTCTATGATGAGGCAAAGTCCCTGTAAGAGATCATCACTTCTTCACTGAACACTTCTGAGAGATTTACTTATTTTCTTATTTATAACTTATATTCAGTTTTGCTTTTGAGTTTTTCTTTGTGTATATCTTTATATTCTTAAGATTCTGTCTAGGGTTTTTGCTAGACATACACATCGTCTTCAACAGCAGACTCATCCTTTAGGATACAGGTTAACAGAATGTTTCTCACCTTCCAAAGGTGTGTGGGTTTGTTCGCAAAGCCCAGTGTTCTGTTACCCGCTCCCTCCTGCATTAGGCCTTCTCCTTCCTGGTCAAGAGAGAGTTCGACATCAGAGAGTCCTACAGAGGTGGATGAGAATCAGGCCTTAAGTAACTCATCAGTGAAAACAGGGAGCTAGAACACATGCACAGCATTCATGCTCTGAGTGTAACCCTGTGGAGCGTTCAACAAACAAAGTGCTTCTTACCATTCACTAAGTCACTATGGTTAGGAAGCATGATTATTCTTAGGATTTGTTTTTTTTCCTATCCAGTGTGGCAGTTCATTATTTCTTTTATACAACCTTTTCACTCTTTCAGAGGGAAACCACATTGGTTGAATTCTTTCTTGTTGCCATTCATACTTTATTTGTAAAGTACTTAATAGTCTTTTAAAAATAATTGCTGGATAATTGAGAATGAAGTTGTCATACTTCTATCCAGAGACATCTGCACAGCTAATCCAAGTGCTTTACTTTAATCTGTAATTTGAGGCCAGTAAAGAAACAGATAGGGGGGAAATCAAATGAAGAGAACTTTTGTCAGTCATAGAAATAGATTCAGATTCAAAACTTCATTAGTACCAATTAAAATAAAAAGGAACTGAGCCACAGAGAGGGATTATTATTCACTAATGCTGTGAAACTTTTACTTCTGATGTTATCAGTTATCAAATATACGGCCTACCGGAAAGTATGTATATTCTACGTTATAGTTTGATAGGTCATTTACAGAACTGCTTATCTCATTCAGGAATGTACACTGTAAAGCAAAGATATTTAATGATAGTGTAGTAGCTGTTAGGTTACCTTTGCATACATGTTGAAGTAAAATATGTTTTTGTAAATATCTTTTAACAACTGAAACAATCAAATGTACTATATTGTTTTAAGGTCTCTGAGACAGATCTGTTGAAGAACACGTAAACACTTGAGTAGTCACTAAATGAGTCCATGTCGAATTTGATTAAACTGGAAGATTCCTGGATCCAGGAAATTAAAACCATATACAATAACTTAGTGTTTTGTCTAGTTGGTATAAAACAGTTTATGTTATAACAAATATAGTGAGAATTTAGGCAATATGTAAAAATGTATTCATTAATGGAAGGGTTTCATTGGCAATTCTCATGTCCGTTTTTGGTCCTTTGACTTGAATTCAGCAGGGGGATTCTGATAATGTTAGATATAAAGGCCTTTCCAAACCACGCACTTGATCAAGTTGGAAATTAGGGGTAGAGGTCCCCTTGAGGCATATTATTTACATTTTAAGTTTTTATCGCAGACAAAAATATAGTGGGCTGTTTCCTAAGGAAAACAAAAAGTTATCATCCCTATAAAGTTCTTCCCTATAAAGATAAATTTTATGTTCTACAAGCTTTCTTTTCTACCTGATTGAGACAGGCTTCCTTCCACTGCAAAGTCACCCATCCCTCACTCAGCCCCTCCAATGCCTCTGTGGTCACCAGTGACTCTTCAGGTACCTGCTCATGTCAAATGGGAATGTCTGTTAGCCCAAGAATTTCCTCTCCGCTTTCTCCAGGCATCCTTATGAAATGTATCCTCTGTAGTTCGCAGGGTTTTTTTTTTTTTTTTTTTGAGACGGAGTTTTGCTCTTGTTGCCCAGGCTGGAGTGCAATGGCAAGATCTTGGCTTACTGCAACCTCTGCCTCCCAGATTCAAGCGATTCTCCTGCCTCAGCCTCCCAAGTAGCTGGGATTACAGGCGTGCGTGCCACTATGCCTGGCTAATTTTTTTGTATTTTTAGTAGAGACAGGGTTTCACTACGTTGGTCAGACTGATCTTGAACTCCTGACCTCAAGTGATCCACCCGCCTTGGCCTCCCAAAGTGCTGTGATTACAGGCATGAGCCACCGCGCCTTACCTGGTTTGCAGTTTTTAAGTCTGTATATTTGAATGTTCCTAAAGAGAAACTTATTTTCTCTTTAGATCTGAATGGCATAGACTTAACTCCTGTGCAAGATACTCCTGTGGCTTCAAGAAAAGAAGATACATACGTTCATTTTAATGTGGACATTGAGCTCCAGAAGCATGTTGAAAAATTAACCAAAGGTTTGTAATCTTAAATAATAATTGGCTTCTTTATGAACAGAATTCTCATCTTATTTGTGTTTGTACATATGGTGGACCTGGCAGAGTTAGTATCTGGCAAAAGCAAATGTCACATAGTGTTTATTGATTTCAGTAAAATATACATATTTTTTAAATGTGGGAATTAGGAATTGTGTTATCTACCTGTCCAATAACACTGTTATGTAGTAAAACAATCTTTAATAATAGAATTTTATTGTCTTTACCAAGAAAACAAAGTTTTTCACACACTGAAGGTCTGCTCCCTAAGGCCCCCTGATGATTAAGTGTTGAGTATTTCTAGTATTTGGTAGAATAACTTGACTTGCAGTTAATTGTCAGGAAATAGGAAAGGACACACATTTCTGAAATAGTGAGATGACATTTCCAAGCGCAGTTCTTAGGAGTAAATACTTCCCCATGCTTTTCGCCCAATGAGAATTTCAGTGTTCTCCAAACAGGTGGCTTCAGAATCCCTTTATCACCTGAGGGTTCAGTTGCAGTTTCTGAAATTTTCAAGCTCTGTGGGATATTCAAGTGCCTTTGGAAGTGACAGCCTCAGCTTCTGAAATATTTGATATTTCACTTCTCAAGTCTGGTTCTGCTGCCTCCTCTGTTCCTCCACTAAGAGACCTTTCAGAGCTTCTGTTACAAGAGTGGTCCTCAGCATATGACCCCTGGGAGAGCAGCAGCAGCACCTGGAACCTTGTGAGGTGCCAACCCCAGACCGCCTGAATCCAAAACCTCGGGGACCAGCCTAGCACTCTGTTTTAGGAAGTGCTAGCAGTCACCCTCTAGGTGATTCTGACATACACCAAAGTTCCAGAGTGGCTGTGTTAGCAAACTGTGTATGTAGGAGTGCTTATAAATATTGTTGAAGAAATTTTAGTTATGAGTATGTCTTCTGAACAAAACTATTGATTTGTTTCATTTCTTTAACTCCATTGCCTTAAGAAATGTTTGTGACGTGGAGGGGAGAAGGTGAACTGTTTCACGGGCTAACTTTCTGTTTTATTACACTGCATTCTTTCTTAATGGCTTGACTCACCAGAGAATAAAAGTAGAACTAGATTCAGAATTTGACTCTATTCAGTTTTCTTCAGCTTCAAACTTACTGTTTACAGTTACTGTAGCTTTAACTGATATTAGTGTTAATGAACATACTTTCATGTTTACAAACATTTTAACTTAATCTTCCCAGGATATTCTTATTTCATATTTTGCTCTTTCTTATAAATAGCATGATGAGGGACACGGGAAATGTATTATTTACAGGTGATGCAGATGAATAATTTAACTTTCTCAAAATGATGGTAACATATTTGAACTTTAGCATTGTTTTCAAATGTGACATCTTCACATTTATTCAGACCTCAAGACACAACCATGAGGAGGAGATGGGTTTCCTAGCTGAAAAGACTCTGCTATCTTAAAAATCTCTGAGGTTTTCTAGTGACAAAATGCCTCTGTGATTCTTGTGGGAGGGAGAAGAGAAGCCACCATTTGTAGAAATGACAAGGTCACACACCTAGGGAAGAGAGGTTACCAGTAACCTAACTATTGTAATCCTTTCGAGCGTGTTGGGAGTGGATGGCTGAATATGCCCATCTCTCCCTCACCCACATCCCAGTGTCTCCTGAGCAATTGGTTTTGCTTTCCCTCCTTGTCATGTGACATGCTCCATTTGGACCCAAGTGCCAGTACTGTACATACATTTCTGAACATTGCTAAACTTCTAGTGACTTGTGAGTTTTGTCATCAGTGAAAGTACTGAATGCATGTTGTCTTTGAAAGCCAAGCTCCTGCACTCCTCTGGTTAAGGCAGTATTTAGAAGTAGTCGGTAACGAGTGAGACTGATTTCCTTCCTTCACTTTCCATGCCTTCTTTACAAATTCTTTTTTTTTTGGCCACATTGATGAGGCTTCTTATTTCTCTCTTACTAGCTTTTTTCTGCAGGATTGGGGGGTAAGTTTATCTGTTGGACTTTGGGGACATAGAACTGTCTAAATTTCTTTTTTTTTTTTTTGAGACAGTGTCTCACTCTGTCACACAGGCTGGGGCACAGTGGCACGATCATGGCTTACTGCAGCCTTAATCTCTCCAGGCTCGGGTAATCCTCCCGAGTAGCTGGGACTACAGGCACACACCACCAAGCCTGGCTATTTTAAAAAATTTTTTGTAGAGGTTGGGGTCTTCCCATGTGGCCCAGGCTGATTTCAAACTCCTGGGCTCAAGTGATCTGCCCACCTTGGCATCCCAAAGTGCTGGGATTACAGGCATGCCTGGCCAGAATTGTCTGAATTCTCATTATCACTTGCTCATCGGAGGAGAGGGGCAGAATAAATAGACTTGCTCTTTGAACCTTTGTCTTCCACAGCACGGTCTTAACACAAACATACCATTCCAGGAAAAACATCAGGACAGTGCTCTGAATACTGAAAAAGTTATTAAGGAACAGATAACATTTTACCACTGAACTAGCATGTGATTGATGTTGCTTGAATTCCAGAATACCCCCAAGATTGAAGTTTTGAGTTTTTGCTTTGGGGTAAGGGAAATTATTCAAGCTTAATTTTTTTTTGGAACTCTTTTAAATGGATTTTCTACCTAAGGAGTTTCTATGGGTACTGAAGTATCTTTGTTCTTCTATGGCATTTCATGTTTTATAGCAGCTTGTGATTCTACCTGTGTACATAACTGTTACACATGCTTGAGGCAGTCTAGCTAAAGAAGTTTTGCTATAGTTTGTAGAACTGGATGATAAGGAGACATGTTACTCTACTCAGATACAGAGAGTTTGGGGTCACAGACATATTAAGTTATTGTCAAATCATTGAGACTGGCACACGTTGCTGTGTTAAATTGTGCCAGCTGTAGCTGTTCGTATGCTTCTGGTGATCAAAGAAAATGAACTGACACAGCAGTGGTTTATGTGGCTCGTTTTCATTCCTTAGGTGCAGCTATCTTCTTTGAATTCAAACACTACAAGCCTAAAAAACGGTTTACCAGCACCAAGTGTTTTGCTTTCATGGAGATGGATGAAATTAAACCTGGGCCAATTGTAATAGAACTGTAAGTGATGTGCATATAGAATTATAGTTTATCTTTCTTCTTAATCCCCCATATCCAGTATTTAACCCTGGAATAATTTAGTATTTTAAACAATGGTCTTTCTGTTGTAATTACAGATACAAGAAACCCACTGACTTTAAAAGAAAGAAATTGCAATTATTGACCAAGAAACCACTTTATCTTCATCTACATCAAACTTTGCACAAGGAATGATCCTGACACGAAGAACCTGGAACTTCTGTGAATGTCACCACTCAGTAGAAACCATCATAGCTCTGTGTAGCATATTCACCCTTCAACAGCAGGAAGCAAGCCGTACCCAGACCAGTAGGCCGGAGGGAGTCCTCTGCAAACCTGGACCACGGAATCAAAGTCCAGCACATCACTGATGTATAAGACTCCTTTGGATACAGGTCTCTTGTAGATTTTGAAACATGTTTTTACTTTTCTATTAATTGTGCAATTAATAGTCTATTTTCTGATTTACCACTACTCCTACCCTGCTTCCTGGAACAATACTGTTGTGGGATGTGCTCATCTTCAGACTTCATACAGCAATAAGAATGTGCTAGAGTTTACACATCTGTTCACTTTTGCTCCAATATGCTCTTTTGATTTAACTTCAAGCTTTGGGTTGATGTGGGTAAGATAGTGTCATACTGCTTTGAGAGGAATTGGACCAGTTCTGCTGCCTAACAAGGTCTGTCTGGATATTTATAGGCTGCTCCTCTGAAGTGGCCTAAACTCACCCTGATCTGATAGTTTTTCCTGCTTAGAAAGTGTGCCTTGGCCAGATCAGTATCCCATAAGGGAGTGTTCCCTAGGTTGTAGCTGTGATAGTTTCCAGATGACCAGATTGTTTTTCTGAAAGTGAGCATATTTTTAGTCATGTTGATTAGCCGTTCTTCTACATCACATTATTACTCTTTCTGATGATGATTCTAGGGTTAACATTGGAACCATCTCAAAAGAATTACAAATGTTTAGATGGGTTTACAACATCTTTTAAATAATATAATCTAAAAATAATTGAGTCAGATGCTAATGAGATACTGCAGGCGGAACTGCTGTTTTTCTGACAACTGATTGTGAAACCTTAAAACCTGCATACCTCTTATACTGAGAGTATGCAAAATCTGGAAAGATACTCTATTTTTTTTATATAGGTAGATAGGATCGCCATTTATTTCCTATTTAGATATACTGACATTCATCCATATGAAAATATGCAGTTCATTAGCTTACTATAATTTGACTATTTACTTTTGACTTAATGGGGCATAAAGAAAACTTTCATAGTACACAAGGTGGATATTTGATACACAGTACATTAAGATTTGTGGTGGGCTTTCTGTGGGTTAGATGTAAAGCCCACATATTTTAATATTCACTATTTTAAATGAGCAATGCATGAGGTGAAGGCAGTGTCAGTACCTGGCCTATTTCTAAACTAGTGTAATCTCCCTAGTCATACCATTCAGTATGTTTGCTTTTTTAAAATAAGTAACCACAATTAAGTTGTTTTAGCCCTTGCACTTCAGGAGATCTAGTCTTTACTTTCAGTTGTCTGTTAGGTCCATTCTGTTTACTAGATGGATGTTAATAAAAACTACGTGAGCCTGAAAGAATTCTCGGCCAAATTTCGTCTTGTCTCTTACCTTGGTTGGATTAATTCCAAATCCTAAAAGGATTCAGTCCACAGTAGCTCTGGGGGATGAAGAATTTGCCTTACTTTGTTCCCTCAGTTCTTAAGACTGTGAGTTGTCAAATCCCTAGACTGTAAGCTCTTCAAG